GCTGTCACTGCCACCGCTGCTGCAGCTGCTGCTGCCAGCCAGAGGCACCGTGTGCCACCGCTGCCGCTGCCACCGCTGCTGCCCCTGCCGCTGCCATCACCGCTGTCACCGCTGTCACTGCCACTGCTGCTGCAACTGCTGCCACCGCCACCACCGCCACCTCTGCTGCCACCATCACTTCCATCACCAGTGTCATTGCTGTCACTGCCGCCACTCCTGCCACCACTGCCACCATCACCGCTGCCACCGCTGTCACTGCCACCACTGCCACCAACCGTCGCCACCATCACCGCTGTCACTGCCACCGCTGCTGCCACTACTGCCACCACTGCCACCTCTGCTGCTGTCACTACCATCTCCACCACTGCCACCACTGCTGCCACCACTGCCACCATCACCGCTGTCACTGCCACCTCTGCTGCCACCGCCACCACCATCACCTCGGTCACTGCTGTCACTGTCACCACTGCTGCCACCACCACCATCACTGCCACGTCTGCCACCCCCACTACCACCACCGTTGCCACCGCCACCTCTGCCACCTTCGCCACCACCATCACCACCGCTACCACCACTGTCACCACTGCTGCCACCACTGTCACCACTGCTGCCCCAGTGTCACCTCTGCCACCACGCAGGCTCCAAGCGGGCTCAGCAGAGACACGGGCCCCTTTCGTGCCCGTGCTGCCACAAGCGCTGCGGCTCTGGGGGCTGCCAGCCCGCCGTGCTCAGCACTGGCCGTGTGTCCTGCAGGGGAAGCCGGCCCCCCGGCACACACGCTCCTCCGTCCAGGTCCGCTCTAGACACATCAGGGGTCGGTTAAAGTGTTCCTCAAACCCACTTGCATTTGCTCCCATGGATTTTTCTCAGCCCCTTTTGGGGACTGGGAAACGGTTCCAGACCTTCCTGCTCAGGCCAAGGGAGAATGAGGAAATACTTCAGTGGTTGCTACACTCACTCATCAGTTTTATTGCTTCATACTCTATTTATAGAAGTACTTTTTGTAACGGAGATGTGTAACCACAAAGCAGACCGCTGGAGCAGGCCACTGCGGAAGGAAGGGTCTGTGCTCCTTGCTGGGACCACAGAGGAGCCCAGGAGCAGAGATCAACTTTGATCTCCGACCTGGCATAGGGATTTGTTGAGCGTGGGAGGCACTGAGCTCAAGAGAGGTTCAGAGCACAACCAGGACATGGCCTGTCATCTCTGCTGACACTCCTATAGTCCAGACAATGAGAGAACATTTCTTGCTTAAAAAGCTTCACAAGTAGCACCGTTTTCCCATTAGAAAGAACTGTTTCCACCCAGAATAACCTCAGCTTCCTCGGTACAGTCATGGGAGCACAGCAAGGTGCTGCCTCTCAAGGTCCTGTCTCGGGCCAAGGAGCCAGCATTGAGCTCGACACAGAAGTCACCAACAAGCCGCACTGAAAGGGTATCGTGGTGCTCTGGGCAAAGAATAGGAGAGGAAGGAGGCTTCTGAGCAAGACTCTCCAACAAGGCCAGGACACACACCACTTCTGACGGCCCACCCTGGCTTTGCCAGTCTTAAATTCTCCTCTTCTGTTCTAGCACCTTCTTTTTTGTCAAGTTTTTTCCTTTCCCAGTTTTAGGAGTCAGGTTTCCTCCATTTCAGACTCCATTTTTCTGAGCTAAACAAGCCAAGCACTTTATTTCCTCTCGTATTGGGATCTCCTCTCCCTCCCACGTGCATTTTTCTGTTCCTGCTCCAGTTTGAACCCACACTTAAGCACGAGTGACTGGTATGAGGCTGAGGAGCCTCCCACCCTACACCACGAGGAACACACATTTATCTTCCCTACAAACCTGCTGCCCAATGCAGAAACCATGGGAAAACCTGGGCTAGGATCCTCTTCTCATACTGTGGACAGTGAAGACAATATTAAACGAGTATAACTCATCCCCGAAGAACACTGCCCTTGGCCATCTTTCACCATGCCTCCCCTTTCAATGTAAGTCTTTACAATTCTTCTGCAAAGAAGGTACTCAGGTTACCAGATATCCTCAAACTTGCATTTTCTCCAGGCTTGTCCCTCCTCTCAGATGTCTCCTACTAAACCCCTCAGAAACGCCCGTGTGGTGCCACAGCGCAGGGCACAGCAAGGCTGCAGGTGTCCTGCAGACAGCTCCTGTGTCCCAAAGAGCGGGACACAAGCAAGCCCTGATCAGGAAGCTACACAGCTTCACTGGGCACTTCTGGCTGTTTGCAGGACTTGGCACGTCCTCCTCCATCTCTGTCCGGTGTCAAGGTGCTCTGGAGCACCGGGAAGCTGCCACAGGTCTCTGTAAAAACCTGTGAAGAACTACTTCTAGTCTAGCATTAAAACTATGTGTAGCCAGGGAGACACTTCACGCAGGTATTTCAAAATCCTCAATGTAGGGGTCAAACCAGTGTTTGCAGATCTCACTCATGTTTGCATAGCAGCAACTCCCGTGTCGTGGGACATCAAACGTCCACCCAGTGCCCGGACAGACTCAGATACACCCTTGGGTTCAAGACCCATCTCCTCCTGAAAAAACAGCACCAGTCTGGGATAATCTTGCTAAACCTGCTTTACTTTATCTTGGGTTTCCATTTTCCCCTAAGCCCTTCACTGCTCTCTTCTTAAAAAGTTGTTCCAAGCTTTGCTCACTGGTGAGGAGACCAAAGGGCTCGCAGCTGCATAAACCATTGCTCCTTTGGCAGTCTGAGAGCAGCACACCAAACAAGACAAATTTAGTGAAGTCCTGCTGCAGACCCTGTCATTTCACATGCCAGCTGCTTCAGAGCTGGGATCTGCTGACTTGATTGTCCCAAAACCCAAACATTCAAGGTTTTTCACCTTCCTCCTCAGGGAGCCTTCTCTGCGTGTGTGTGCTCACCAAACACTGAAGCAAAGCATGAATGCAATCATGAGGCTGTCCAAAGGACCTCTTCTGCCAGGCACTCACTACGGCCGCTGGCTTTGGTTCCTGACCTGCCCCTCCTGTATCATCCAAAGTGAAACAAGGCAGTCTGGCTTCACCATCTTCCCAGCATGGGGACCATGAGAGTCTCTGCCAAGCTAAGCCAGTGCCTAAGGAAGAGCAAAGAACCCTTCCCTGGCAGAAAGGAGAGCTTCCAAGGAGCTCCTTCCCCTTCTGTGCTATTGGGTCCTCTAGAAGACCCACTATTGAATCCTCCCTGCTAAACACATCCCTAAAACATCCACCTGGGTATGAACACCAGACCATCAGCTTGCTGCTTGCAGGGTGAGCAGGCCCTCTAAGTCCATCTGTGCCCGTCCATGTCCCGCTCCACGGGACAGGCGTGCTGCTTTCCTGGGGCCACGCTGATGCCCATGGACCTCCCTTTGGCTTTGCCCAGGAACTTCTTTGCTCAGGGTGCTCATGACTTTGCAGTGAGCATCTCCACAGCTTCTAGAGACCATGAGCCAAGCCTGATGGTTCACACATAAACATGATCTCAAGGCAAGCAACGAGCTGTTCTAGGCTCTCAACAGCAGCTTCTGAGGTGACAACCACTTTGCTGTTTCCAAAAGCTACAACAGGGCTTTAGTCTGAGCCCAGTTCTAGACCAAACAAGCTGTGTAGTGGGTGAGGAGACCTGCGGGTGTGGGGAGCAGTGCATGGGCTCGCGGGCTTTCCGATTTCCCACCTGGTTGATGTGAACAGAAGGAATGGAGGCCGCAGAGACAGATGAATGGCTGGGTGAATTGGGTAAGGACTTGCAGGGACCGATGGAAAGCTGCTGTTTCTTCCGTAGAGCCACCACCTTCTGGGCCACTGAAAGAGAGAGAGAGAGAGTCAGAACATGGAAAACATCTTTCTCCACCCCCTAAATTTTCAGGGTGCTTCAGTAAGACCCAAATCCTTTCTCTCAAAGAAGCCACCCTACGTCAACAGGAGGACTTCTGCAGAATATCCAACCTTGCTACTGCCCTGCCTCTGCTACACAGCGTGGCCACGGGCTATTTTGCCAGCGGCTGTTGCAGGAGGCAGGACTGGCTAAGCCCCTGAAGGCTGCCTGCCCCCATGGGTCTCGCGTGAAGCAGTGACTTCACATGGAGAGCAAAGAGATATGTGGCGCCCAAGGTTGTTACGGGAGAAGTCCTGGGCAGCCAGAGACACTTCTCAGTCATCCTCTCAGAGCACCCAGTGCTTGCTCAGCCGCTTACGCTTCAGAGAGGCTCCTAGGGTGAGGACAGAGGCGCTGACAGGAGGTGCAGCAGCTGAAGTGAACAGCCTGGGCAAGGTCACTTCCATCACCTGGGTGCTTCTGACCCTCACAGTCTCCAGGTGTTCTAAAAACTAAGGTTAAAACCTACTCTTTTGGTTCCTGTGACCTCCCTACCAGATCACAACAGCCCCAAATTGCATGCCAGTGTTCCAAATCTCCCACCCTTTCACCACAAAGCAAACAAGCCGGAATTGGGGGAATCCAGGAGAACACATTGCTATTTCTTCTTTTCTTTTGCCTATTGTCCAGGTGGGGACAGATGGACAGGATGGAAAGAACTGAGCCATTGGGAACATCCCATGTCACAGAGTCATGAAAAGGTTGAGGTGGGAAGGGACCTGTGCAGATCATCTGGCCCAATCCCCCTGCTCCAGCAGGGTCACCTTCCACACTTTGCCCAGGACCACGTCCAGATGCCTTTTGAATATATTCACCAACCGAGGCTCTACAGCCTGCCCGGAGAGTCCGTTCCCGTGCTCCATCACCTCCACAGTCCAGGAATTTTCTTTCATGTTCACATGGACCTTCCTGTTCCTCAGTTTGTGGTCTCTGCCTCTTGTCCTGTGGCTGAGCACCACTGAGAAGAGCCTGGCCCCGTGCTCCGCACACCCTCTGTGCAGATGTACGTGCTGACGAGGCCTCCCCTCAGCCCTCTCGTCCCCAGGCTGCACAGGCCCAGCTCTCCTGGCCTCTGCTCATAGCAGGGATGTTCTGGTGCCTTCATCCCCTCTGGGAGGAGCCTTCATCCCCTCTGGGTGGACTCTCTCCGGGAGCTCCGTGACCCTCTTGTCCCAAGGGAAAACAGGTTCTGGATGCGGGGATGAAGGGCTGGCAGGGAGTGGTTCCACCCTTACAAGCAGGCATTTGGAAGCTGGGAATTCGGCTTTCCTTGCAGGGCAGGATAACTCCAAGAGCCACCGTGGCCTCGGGCGCTGCCGGCCTCACCAGGACTCCACGGGTTCCGGCACCCAGGGCTTGGGCACCCAGGGCAGAGCAGGGTGAATATCCATTGCCTCACCAGACAAGACAAGACAGCTTGGAAGCAGACATGGAAATCAGACAGGTCTGGTGCAGGCAAAACTAAATCCAGCATTGGGAGAATGATTAGGAAAAAAAAATATCCATCACAGAATACAAGCAGGAGTTTTTTTCTGAGGCAAGCCCGAAATCCTCTCACCCTTCACGCTGTTGAAGTGGCAATGAAAACGCTCTGGTGAGAACGTGCTCAGCACACGAAGGCCACTGGTCCCAAAGACCGCAGACACACACCCAAATGGGACCAGTAACAAATACCAGTGACTTCGAATGGGAGTTCATTGACTTGAGGCAAAATTCCTATCACAGGACACATTCTAGGAAGTTTTTTCAGGAATGTCATGACAACAGAACACCCCACGGCAGGTCAAGGACAGCTTGTGAAATCTCAAGTAGATTGGAGTCCAAAATAGATGGCAGGAGATGATATGAGAAGGGAAATTTCTGCACGGCCCATAGAGAAAAACCTCTTAGTTTTCAGGGTAGAGATGATACGCAAGTCAGAATCTCACCAGAGAAAGCAAATTGAAGGCAGTAGATTTCCCCATATGCAGGACACGGGATGGTCCAAATGCTGAGGAAGACAGAAGGAGAGAGCGCTCTCTTGGGAAAGGGAGGATGAGGTAGTCACCCGTGGGGAAAAAAGGGAGGGATTCGGGAAAGGTTCCGAAAATCCTCGTAGCAAGCGCTGCCCCGTGCCAGCAACCTGGCACAGCCCCTACCTGCTCGCTCATTCTTTAATGGCAATAATGGAGCTAATTACAGCAGCGGGCTGCTCCAAAGGCATCGCGAGGCAGTGTCTGGCTTTGTCTGCTAGCACGATCAACGGGATTAAGATCTCGTTAAGGATCCTTAGCATCCTTAAGGCTATCCTAAGGGCTATCACGGATGAGCCCTGCACCAGTGCAGAACCTCCGCCTCTCGCTGCACTGCTCGGGCTCCTCAAGCATGATGGATGGTGCTGCAGTGCACGGAGCTCTTGAGCATCACACAACTTACTTCAGTTTATCACCACGCTTTGTTCTAGGCATTCTGCAGGAAAACCTCCTGTGCAGATGCTACGAGGAACAGTCAGCAATGGGAGGAGATTCTGGACAAAGAGAGGGCTGCACTGGATGGTCCAAAGCAGGGCAGAAACAGCTCTACAGAAGCATTGTCCAGGGGAATGGCACCTTCTGGAATCACTGGGCCTTGCACACAGCCTTGCACATCAGTTCTCGCGCTCTCCATGGAAATGCTCCTGCTGAGCTCTCACGCACAAGTCTGGAACATGCAGCAATGATGTCCATCATCCCTGAAGGCATCAAACAATCCACCTCACATCTAAGCAAAAGAAATGACACTCAAAGCCAGCAATTCCACCCAGCACACAGAAACCTAAACAAGCAACTGCCACATGGAGGAGCTTTCAAGCAAGCTTCCCTTGCGCTTTCAAGCTAAAATCCAAAATTGCAACCTCATTACAGAGGAGGGAAGATGAACAGAAGATCTGGTGCAAGTAATTCCGCAGAAGGTTTCTGTAAGTGATGGGAAAAGACAGGCAATGCCAAGGCACAGCCGTCCTCTCCAGTGCTCTGGGCCAGAGGGAGGAGAGCAGCGCTCACCTTCAGCTTGCCACAAAGCAAGCTAGGAGCAAGCACGAGGAGCCTCTGCAACACGAGCTACCGGGCTGCTGTCCTCTCCATGCACGCCCATCATCAAAGCTGGATCCTCTTCAAGACCAGCTCCAGGACGATCCCTGCCAAAGGGCTCTTGAAAATTTGTTCCTTCACCTTTCTATGGTGAAGGAATATTGTTAAAATGACACCCAGAAGGCTGAGGTGCCTCCACATGGCGCTCCCTGCTGTTGTCCTGGGACCTGCTCTAGGAGATTCCTGCAATGCCGGAGCTCTGTGAAGGCGATTCTGAGAATAAAGGTCTTTAATAACGTGCCAGGGAAGATACGCTCCATACCAGCTCTTACCTCACCAGGACCTCTGCCATGAGTAAAGCCGCCCGCTAATCCATCCCTTCGGGGTGACCCAGCCCGGCCACTGGAAAAACTCTGAGTCTATAAATTCATGTCTGCAGAGTCCTGACACTGCAGTACAGAGCCCAGCTTAGGTCTCTCTTCCAGCTTTGTGCCAGGGTCATCCCCAAATGGTACTTGAAGCCAAGGGCTGACCTGTCCTTTCACCAAAGCAGGAACTGCGACAAGTGCTGATGCTGGAAGCAGCTTTGCAAGGACCAGAGAAGTGCAGCTCCTACACAGCAAACAGCAGCTCAGGGAGGACTTCTGCATGCAAGAAACCAGCCCTGCAAGCAGGGAAGGGGCAACTTCACGTGAGGGCAGTCCTTTCACAGAAGCCTGACTGCCAAGGCAGAACATCTACCACCCCAAAAGTCACCGTGATTACAGTGGCATCGGCCACAGAGCACATGTGGTATCCAGATCCCCTGCACAACACAACGAACGCAGCGGAGACCAAACACCAGAAACCGCTCTAGGCACCGAGAGAGGAACAGTCTCTGCCAGAGCTGGGCGGAAAGGAGGCACCGCAGCAGATGGAAGCACCTGAGGAATCTCTGCCCCGGCAGCGAAGATCCAGAGCTGTGCATCTCCGAGCGTCGCCCACACGCAGCAGCACCGCGTGCAGACAGCGCCGGGCTGCGCACAGCAGAGTGGGAAGGGAGCCCGCAAAGCCTCAGCAGGAGGATGGATGTTCCCCACGCACCGCGCTGGAGCATTCGCTGCCCCAAGAAGGTCAGTGCCCACCGACTGTCTGGGAACGGAGATGCTCTGCACAGGCTGGACTGAACAAAGCTCCGCGATGAGAGCAGACGGCAGAGTGCTCTCCACGTCTGCTGCCACCACAGAAGCTGTACGGGGCAGGCAGCCACCTGTGCACTGAGCAGTCTGTGCTGAAGACAGCAGGTAAATACGGGGCCTGGCTGGTAAAGCGCGTCTCCAGCAAGGCAAGGTCCTCTCAATCCACCAGGCCTCTAACCAGAGGCACCAGGAACCAGCAGGGCTCATCAGGAAGAGCCGCCTGCCTACTCTAACAACAGCTCACCCTGTCGTGCCAGCTTCTTCCAGAACGGGACGCTGGAAGTCCCTGGATGTTCTCAGGCCCCAGGACGCCCGGGGCAGCTCGGAGCCAGCGCTGCCTCCCTGTCCTTCCCGTGCCACAGCGGCGCTCCCGGGACCCTGCGCTCCTGCAGCTAAGCGGGCAGCTGAATGCATTGAGTGAGTGATGTTTTCTCCAGATCTTCCCAAAATGGTGGGATTCCATGTTCCATGTGCCACTCGTGATTATTACCACGTGTTTCCCCCACAGCTCTCCAGTACATGCTTTCCTCCAAGGGTATCCACTGCCCTTAGCGGGATCTCTCCATGGGGAACGTCAGAGCCAACCAGCTGTGCTCCCTTGGAAAAGCTCTGCTGAATCACGGTGCAGACGGGGCAGAGTCCCCGGTGCCGGGAGCCCCGCGCGGGTGGACGGGCGGCACCAAGGCCGATCGCTGCAGGAAACGCCATCGCCACCCGGGCACGTGCAGGAACCCGGCGCATCGGCACAGGCACCCGGGAAGGATCTCTCCACTTCCAGGCGGATCTTCGCGTCCTGCAGCATCCCACAGTGCCCCAGGCACCGGGCATGGGCAAAGTCTCCTCCACAGAGGAACTCACATGGATTCTGAGAAAGCAAAGGATGCGGAATACAGCACTTCCCTAAGACACCTTTTCCAATAGTTAAAAAAGAGGGATATTGAGGGGTAAAAAATTTGCAAAATGAGAATTTGACAGGCTCCAGCTTCAGGCATTACATCTCCGCTCACCTGCAGAGCCTCACAGAATCTATGATTTTCTTCCCATGTAGATACTCAGATATTGCAATCAAGCCACCTCGCAATCCTCTTTCTGATAAATTGAATGATAGCTTCTTCTAGTGCCTCATTGTTGAATGTTTTTGGCAGGCTTTGATTAATTTTTGTGCCTTTTTTATCTTCTCAGTTTCTCTTCTCTCTTTTGAAACGCTGATTCCCGAGTTTGACAGCGCACTCCAGCAATGCTCTGCTACGAAGATAAGACTCCATCCACGTGTGCATTTGATGCTTCCCTGTTTATGCACCCAAGGGCACCATCAGGCTCCTCCTCGTGTAGGGATGACCCACGCTCCTCGTTCCTGCACAGCAAGAGCATCTAGCTACACATTAATTTGGTTTGAGCAGTCTCAGATCATCGCACACCCTGCAATCCTCACTCTCTGGATCTCCCCCTCAGCCTCACTGCCCTTTGCTCCTTGGCACAGTTCACAGAACACCAGGAATAAAGCCAGGGTTGAGGTTGAGCACAGCGCCTTGCAGACACCGAGTGGAGCCTCTAAGCAGCAGGTGAAGATCTCCCACCAAGAGGAAGAGCTCGCTACGCAGACCTGGGCCAACAGCTCCAAGCCCTGCTCTCACACAAGGGTTCACACCCTCCATTCATCTCCCACACCCTCCATTTCATCTCACACCTCTCCATTTAAAGTCATGTTGTCTATGCTCCCTGAGGTCAAAGAGAAGAAACACCCCCAGAGTACAATTTATTTCATCTTCAGATTAAAAAGGAGGAGAAGTAGCCAAGCAACGAGCCGCACCTAATCCTGCAGTCCTTTCTCCTCCCCTTCTCAACTCCTTCTGTCATTCTCCACAACACTGTCCTTCAGAGAAGGGGGACAACCAATCCTTATGATCCGCTGAACAAGTTTAGTGCCAGACAGCAGCAAACACTTTCCAGAAGCCCAGATCAACTGTGCACACAGCCTCCCCATTGCTCCAGGTTTGCTCTGCAAGATGCTGGTCGGTTTAACAGATCCTGCCCTACCAGGCCTCTGGAAATGTTCACTGTCTTCAGTTATGCACAGTGTTTCTCTCCTACCAGGTCTCCACTACTCGCTAAAAGGAAGGGTGGAAGGAAGGGAGACAGACAACCAAGGACCAAGAAAATTTTCCTCACACTGAAAAATAGAAATACATTTGCTTTTCCCCATATACAAAACTTCACCAGCAAGTCAAAGTGATTTAATTCTTTAGTTCTAGTAATCCCCGTGGTCACAATGAACTCATGGACCACTCTTCAAAGGGTCCTCTGTCAGCACCTCATCTGGATCAGCGTTTGACCTAGTTGCCACATCACCACATCACAATGAACAGAGCTCTTGAGCTCTGCCACTGCTGTCCCTCTTTGTGGCCCTGAGGTCGTTCCATAGCTGTTCCTCACCCTGCACTTACTTGCTGCCTGCCTTCTTGAGCATCTTTCCCTGTCTCCAGATGAGCAGAGATAGCACTCCGATGAAGACTCTACAATTCAGAGCTTTTCTGATGAAAAGTGCATTTAGCAATAAGAATTACTGGGTCCTACAGCCAGTCCTAGGTCTACACTCAAAACCGGGATATCAACAAATTGGAGAGGGCTGGAAACAACCATGAAGTTACATCGGCTTCTAGGAAACCTAGTGCAGAGGAACTGACACAACTTGACCAGTTCAGGCTAACGAAGCAAGGGGTCACAGTCAGAAGAGGCTTCACAGAACAGAGCAGCTTTAGAGCTGCTGGACAAAGATACAGGGAGCGGCAGCACGTGAAGCTGAGGTCAACAAGCATGTCAATGGAAAGAGCAGACGGCCTGAGGACACAACACAGAAGCCTGGTCTCTGGGAGCAGTAACGCAGCAGGGTATTTAGGCTTGATGATACTGCTCCAGCTTCTCCAGGAATCTCAAACCAATGGAGAGGCTGATGGATGCAGGGGGATCCCTCGCTTGGCTGGACACAGGTCCAAGTGGGACGAGTTGAAAGGTGTCTCTCTTGCCTGGTATGTCAGACCTCTTAGAGGAGGACCAGCAGCTGGAGAACTCTGCACGCTCCTGCAGGCAGGCAGTCGCTTTGGTTGTCATCCTCAGCACATCAACAGCACATTACTGCAAGCTCGGAGGCTTGTGCAGAGGAAGGAGCATCACAAGCCCCAGCCCAGAGCGGGAAGGAGGCCCTGGAAGCCGGTGACACGCTCAGTCCTGTGTCTTGCCCACAGACTATCCTGCCATGCTGCAGAGAACTGAGCAAAAGTTTTGGTTTTGGACAGTCTCGCTGCACTACTTGGAAAACTAAGTTTCCAGACTTTCTCCATGTCCCCTGTGCCACTTGCAAACACTCCCCTACCAGCTCAGCTCTCTTGCTCTCCAGCAGATCTGTGCTGTCTAGCCACCCAGCCCTGCACAGACCCTCCATCCACTGAACAGAGATGCCCACTGCACTCTAGAAACCCGGGCTGAGAAAGGGAGAGGGGAATATGCACAGCCATTCAAGGACAGGTTTATCTGGGCAGAGAGCAGGCTCCTTGGATATGGTTTGGGCTCCCTCTTCCACCTGTAGCAGCCCTGTTATATGGATCCTTCTCCAAGTCTAAGTAGAAATACCTTTTCACATACTCTTCCCACTAGAAACAGCTGCTTCAACTGGCCATTTGGTTGTGGTTCTCCTACTCTTAATGCCCAACATTTCTCCTGCTTCCTCTTCTCCTCCGCCATACGTAATCAAACCCACTTCTCCAGGCCCGCCAGCCCTTTGGTTCATACACACTGCTGTGCTGCACAGGGCCACCGCAGGGATGTCCCCTCTGGCCTCTCTGGTGTGTGGCACAAGTCCCCAGCACACGGTGCTACGTGTGCCGAAGGCAGCAGAAGGTGCTGCTCTGCAGAAGTCCTCCTTTCACACACCCGTGCAGCTCCTCTCTGCATCATGCCCAAGGGAATCCGTCCAGGCACAACCAGCAAGTCTTGCTCTTAGGACTTGCTCTCTGCACATAAAGCGACTGCACATGAGCTTAACTCTGACTTTCCGTGCCTTCCCCGGAGCACTCCTGCCTAACTGGGATCTTGTGGTCTATGCACTGCAAGCCTGCACATTGGCACAGCGCTGCCGTCCTGCTCAGACGCCCTCCACCCGACTGCAGTTACCATCCTGGAAGACTCGCTCCACATTCAGTCCGTAGGTAGCACAGGTCTCATAGTACGTGCAGCGCTTCAAATCATTGGAGAGCTTCCGCGCTCGGGAATCATCAATGACTCGGGGATTTGTGGCACTGATGGCATCTGGAAACCAAAGGAAGAGGAGGTTAGAAAATAGGCTTCCCCATCCCATCCGTTCACAGCTCACAATCCCGTCCCCGTTCCAATCCTTGCCTGCTGGGATACCCACCTACATAGCACACCTGGCGTCCTATCAATGTATGGGATATGCATGATGTTCCACACTTGCAGAAACATGGATTTGTTAACATTTTAAAAATACCCTTATTGAACCTTCCTAGCCACGCAGACACTGGCATTTCTGAAGACAGAGGAATTACTTCCCAGAAATCTGTACAAAGCCAACACAAGGCAGCACGGCTGCCTGGCTCTGGAGCTACCATCAAGAGTTCACAAGACAACACTGTGAACAGTGCACCTGAGCGAATATAGCGCAAGGACACCTCATAGCAGGGAGATGGCTTGAAGCCATCGTGAGAAGCTGCAGTTCACAGATGTCATAAACAGCCAATTTATTGCAACCCGTAGGTGTATGACTGGTCATGGAAGCTGCAGCGACAAGGTGCACTCATCTCCAAGTCCGCCTCAGCTGCAGAGTAAAATGGATTTACCAGCATATCTCAAACATGCTAGATTTTTAATCATCACAGCTTACAGTACGGCCTTCAGTCAAGTGGGAAAGATGGCTCTGCTAGGATGCACTCAAGAATTATCTTCACTGCTAGACCATGCTAAAAATGGGCTTAAAGTGTAACCCAGCTGGCAACTAAACGCTCATGTGGTATGGAAAAACTATCTTCCCAAGAAGAAACTGATCTGAATTCATCAAGACATGCCAGGACAAATAGGGGCTGCAAGTGAGTCTGGTCAGGAGGAGTCAAAGGGATCTGTCATTAAGAAATTCTCTTGAGTTGGTCTACCGAGTTGCTAGTGCGACTGTGCCGTGGCTGTGACCTCAAGCTGGCTGTAAACGTGGGACAGCAGTGACCACCGAGCCCTCTGCCACGTCGCTCTTTCTCAGCCCTGAGGCTCCACAACACATTTCTGCACCCCAGCCCAGCCCTGAACCAAGATCCCTCAGGCCTGTAACTAATTTCACAAGTTTAAGCATCAGAAATTTAATGTTTATTCTACTTTTCATCTAGGATCCGAAGCAGACACCATTGAGATTCCTCTTTCACTGTCCTTGCCTAGTTCCAACCCTAGGACCTCTATCTTCATGAAGAGTATGATCCCAGCAGTGTATCCCAATACTTAAGGACTAAGTTCTGCCATGACCGTCTCTTTCCTCACATCCTCCATTCTTTGCTCTTGCTTTCTGTGGGTGCCTTTACATCTCAACAACCCCTACAGCCCCAGGCATCAAGAATCCTTTCTCCCTCCTGCCACAGACAAAAGAGGCGACCACAACTGAGGCACCTGGAGCCCAGTGTCCTCTTGTCACAGCCACCTCGCTGTCTCCTGGGCACAGGCACCCCATCCCCTCGTTCGCTCTCTGTTCCCATTCCCACTTTCAGCCTCACGGTGCAGTGAAGTGACACGTGGCCTTACAGCTTCCTGCCTGGCTCTTGCTTGGGAGCTCATGCTTGGAAGAAGAAAGCAGAGGCTCACCCCAGGCTGCTGCTGCTCTTCTGCACACCCACGCGTGCACCAGCAGCACCTCAGAGAAGATGATGCCCAACAACTCAGGCCCCTTCCCAGGACGCTGAGAGCAAGTTATCATCCCCTCAAACCTTTCTTACTGCAGGTGGCCCTAGGAAGATGCAGGGGGGCCCTGCCCTGACCCCTGCCCCTGTCTCAGTCACTGCAGAGGATGCCAGCAGGACTGCAGGAGGGAGGGAAATGTAAGATGTTCATGGATTTCAGAGAAGAAAGTGGCTCAGTGGGAAGGTAAGCACAGTTCTCCTCAGGAAGAAACGTGCTGAAATGGATTTTTCAACATTTACAGCATCCTGGAACAGGGACCTGAAAATATCTCTGTCCCAAACGCTGCTTTTCAGGTGCCAGACCGAGCAGCTCATGCAATGCCCCAGCGAGAGGCGGAGGGCTGCCCCGCGCTCCCTGCAAGCGCGCACCCCGCACACTCCTCGCCGCGGCAGGGAGGACCCTGCGGCCCCCTGCTCTCACCTTGGGTGCCCACCAGCACCATGGGCACCTCCGCCGTGTTCCGGTAGCTGCAGAGGCGCAGGTAGTAGTTATACACGGTCTGGAAGCTGATTTCGTCCTCCAAGCTGAACACGAACACCACGGCATCGACCCAGGCAGCGAACTGGAGGAGAGCAGCAGTTAGAGCGCGGCGCGCGCAGAGGGTGGCAGCGAGGGGCAGCGCAGCAGCTGGGTGGGCGCCCGCGGCCGGCGCGGCCCCACGCCGCGCCACGAGCTGCTCAGCATCGCAGCAAGGCCCGCGGCGAGCGGCAACCACGGGGAAAGGCAGCCCCTAACGCAGGCCCTGCCCTTCTAAGAACTTGTTAGTCTCCAGCACTGGGTCGCCCTAACTGTTGTTTACAGCCCTGCGTTCCTCTATCCCAGAACTGCTCCCCAGTTCTCGGCAGTTCCTTCTGCAAGGACCCTCTATTCCTTCCGGCGTGGCAGGGGGTGGGAAGGGGTCTCGGGAGGTACAGATCTCCTACCTGCAGCTCAGGGGGGCCCCCTTCATCGCGAATCAGCAGCAAGTAGCTCTGACCATCCACTACGATCTCCTTCTTAAATCGGCCACCTTGGAACAAAGCGAAGCAGCGGGTCAGGCGGGAGCGGGAGGCGCGGGAGCGAGTGGAGGGCGCCCGCGAGCACCAGCGAGGCTGCAGGGCCCCGGGGCAGCGGCAGGCGCCCACACGGGGAGTCGCCTTCCGAGCGGGCGCGCTCGCCCAGGGGCCGCGCAGCCACCTACCTTCCGGAGACTCCTCCTGCACGTAGGTGCCGGTCAGGTAGCGGTGCACCAGGGCCGACTTGCCGCTGGACAGGTTGCCCACGATGCCCTGCAAGAGAGGGGCGAGCGTGAGGCCGGGGGCGCCGGCCAGCGGGGCGAGGGCACGCGGCGGGCGCAGGGCACCGGGCGCGCTGTCCCGCGGGCGCCATCGCCAGCGGTGGCGCAGGGCAGCAGGAGCCCAGCCGTGCTCCAGGGATGCCCAGCGGGGCTTTCCTCCTCCAGAGCAGTGGGAGCGCGAGCTCGCGCTACACAGGACTCTTCCTGTGGCGCTCCGGCACTTGAGGGACACTCGTCTCCCCGCGCATTCAGCTCAGGGGGGAAGAGCTCTGCTCCCAGCCCACGCACGCCGAGCTCTCGGTCATTAGCTCCCGGCAGGCGCCGACACGAAGCGATGCAGCACAGAGCGTGCCCGTGCACTCGCTGGAGCTGCCCTTCGGGTACCAGCAGCACCGTGCTGCAGCAAAGCGCATCCCCGGAGCTGGCACTGCCTGCCCCCGGAGCTGTGTGCTGCTCCGCTCACTGCCCCTGCCAGCAGCTCCCGACCCTGCCTGGCTTTGAGCTGCCTTGGAATGTACCCGGCTACTCAAGGAATGCAGCTGACGAGCCGCACGACCAGTTTCTTTCCCTAATGTCAACACTTTCCCAATGGCTTAGAAGATCTCCAGTGCTTGAGAGGGCAAGGAATGCCGCGGGCTGGCCTCTTGACGGGTAGCCCTCACGTCAAGGGAAAAGGGGCACTTTCTCCCATCCTTTCAGCACATGCAGTTATGTGTGACTGCTGCACAGCTGCAGCCAGGGCGCCCTGCGGAGCTGCCCGTGCTGAGCACGGTGCCGCCGGCTGCACCAGCCCCTCGAGCACCCACCGCGGTGCTGAGCACGGTGCTGCACCCTGCACCAGCCCCTCGAGCACCCACCGCGGTGCCGAGCACGGTGCTGCACCCTGCACCAGCCCCACGAGCACCCACGGTGGTGCTGAGCACCGTGCTGCACCCTGCACCAGCCCCATGAGCATCCACCGTGGTGCTGAGCACGGTGCCGCCGGCTGCACCAGCCCCACGAGCACCCACCGCGGTGCTGAGCACGGTGCTGCACCCTGCACCAGCCCCTCGAGCACCCACCGCGGTGCTGAGCACCGTGCTGCACCCTGCACCAGCCCCTCGAGCACCCACCGTGGTGCTGAGCACGGTGCTGCACCCTGCACCAGCCCC